AAACTCCCTGAAGATCCTTGGTTTTGATGCAATCCTACCCTGACACTTGGTGGGCAGTCATTTGGCATATATGCAAAGATATAAAATTGCTAGAATTAGAACTGAGAATAGCTTCATCTTTGATGAACACTCTTATCCATAAAAATACCACTTTAAAATAAATTTTTATTTGTGCAAAAAGCTGTTTGTATCAGAAGAGTTTTAAAGTTCTCTGCTCATAAACAACCTTATCACAATGGAAATCATAATAGCTGACTTTGAGAAAGAAAGTTAATCCTGCTGAGCTTCCATTTTCTGATCTGTAAAGAGAGTATAACAGTAATTTCCTCAGAGCTCTTACAAGGATTAAAGGTAATATATGAATAACATTTGGACAGTGACTGACAGGATGCATGTGGAAACTTCTTGGATTTAACACTTCACTGAAACTTAGAAGTCTGGTACAAATTCCAATGACATGATAATATAATTTCACATTGGCTGTACCTTTGTAAAATCACAGCATTTAGGCATTAGGAAGCAAAGATACCTTGGGTTAGATGTTATTGGTACCTCCCAAGTTTTTGGACTCAGCTCCACTGAGTTAGATTTAAATACATGGCATACTTTTATTTTCTGTGAAAAAATTTAGTTATTTCCATAAAGTTAAAGATTAATGATCATATTCCTACTTAAGATTTTGGGGTTCCTGTTGGATTTTAAATAAAAATCTAGGGTGGCATGCTTTGGAATTCTTAGGCATCCAGATTTATTAGACTCCGGCCTTATTATCCTTGCCTTGACCATATATTCAGTAGCAGAGTAAACTATGACTGTTGATTGTGAGAGTAGCTCATGGTAAAGATATTAGAAGTAAAGCTGCCTAAAGCTCAACTAATATGTGCTTATTCTCCATATTCTTGTCTTTGCAAATTAATGTAAATGAACTGAACACTTACCACATCGCATGCCTAACCTTCTGCTAAGCAAAGTGAGGAATATAAAAGTCTAAGTCCTCTGTCAGAGAGACTACATTTTATATGGAGGCTATAAGTCCATATAAAAGTTCTATACGTGTACAAAGAAGGAGATAGTCCTAATAGGGTTTCCCAGGGCAAGGAAAAGATGAAAGTTGAGAGAGAACCCTGAGAAAGAGTAAAATATTGGCTTCTGAGACAGGATCTAGGAAGAATCTTCCCTTTTGGGGTTGGCTCCTGTCATCAGGTCCCTCTTGTAAAAGAGGCATCTCCTACCATGGTTCTGGCCTTTGGTGTAAGCAATAGGTAACCTGAACTGGAATGACCAAGAGGCATTTACTTCTATAAGGGTGGTGTTAGAGGCACATGACATTCTGCTCTTATCTCTACCTAGGTGGCTCACATCTGCAGAGCTAAGGGCTAAAATATATGCTGAGGATGTGGTATTTTCACAGGTTATAATTTTGCCTGAACATATTGTCAGTATGGTTTTGGTTAGCTGAGTTGAGTGTACAACAAGGAAATTAAGTCCTTATAATTAATCCCTACATGGGCCAGTTAAAATAATTCTTTTAAGAGTGTTGTATGTTTAGCCTTGTTCTAGAGTTAGAGAGAAAGAAATAAAGAAATTTAGAGTATGACCTCTGACCTCACAATCCAATGTAGAGAGATCCATATATAGTTAAACAATATGAGTTGTCATAAAGCAGAGTATTTTTTCAGTTAAAGATATTTACTGAATGATTATGTGCCAGTCATTCTGTTAGATTCTAGTGATTTAAAAATGAGTGAGATGTGTTTTTTGCCTTCAAAGTGCTCATAGTTTAGTTAAAAACATGGATATAAATGGAAACATTTGATATAATGCAGTGAGTATATTATTAAAGGAATTCCTATAGTGACATGGTAGCCCCAACTTGCATTTTTAATACATTATTTTGACAGCAGAGTAGATAATAGATTTTAACAGGGCAGTCTTCAAGGGAAATGGATCAGTTAGTGTTTCAATAACTCAGAGAGGGAAGAGAGAGTGTGACAGTGAGGGAGGGAGAGAAAACATGGTTAATTGAATGAGAGAGTAAGAGTCTAAGATTATTCTATGAAGCCTGATAGATAGTGGCAGATAAGTAAAATGTCAGGGAATAAGCCATTAATGTAGGTGATGTTGCTCAGCATGAAGATGATGAATAAGAAGAGAAGATGCAGACCCAGGGAAAACAAATATTTAAAGGATGTGAAAAAATAAAAGAAACCATGAGAGAAACTCAGTATAAATGGACAAATAGCTAAGAGGTGAATTAAGAAATTCTTGTTTGAAAGCCAAAGGAAGAGAACTTTGCAAAAAGATGGAAGTGGTCAGACTGTGTCCAGGGCAGCTAAGAAGCCCTGCATGATTTAGCAACATGATGGCCACTTGTCACTTTGCTAACAGTTTCAGTGAGGTTGTAAGGTATATAAACCACCTTGAAGTGCATAAAGAATAGAGAGTGAAGAAAAGGAAATATTCAATGTAAACAAGTATTTTGAGTAATGTATAGAATTGTTGATTTACTATATTGTACACCAGAAACTAATATAACACTGTATGTTAACTATATTGGAATTAAAATTAAAAGATAATAAAAAATAAAAAGAAACAACAGAAGAAAGTGCAAAGACATAGAATAAGATGAATGCACAAGAGAAGAATTATTTTGGAGTTTGGTGAGACTTGATGAAAAAGATCCAACTGAGAAAGGAGAAGAGCATGATGACCTAGAGAAAAGGGAACAATTAATAAAAGAGGATCCTGAGAGATATAAAATGAATTAAGAGCATGGGAATTCATCTTGAGCAACAGGAAAGGCAGTTGTGTTGGGAAGTAAGAAAGTTGTAGCTATACTTAAGATTATTTGTGTTGGGGGGAGACAGTAGATGAAATTGAGTTGCTTCTCACCCAATAACCTAAATTTTCTCTGTGATTTGAGAAGTTAAGACTTTCTGCTGAAGAGTTAGTTGGTGGGAATGCAAACTGGGGCAGCCACTCTGGATAACAGTATGGAGGTTTCTCAAAAAATTATAAATTGAACTACCATATGACCCAGCAATTGGATTACTGGGAATTTACCCAAAGAATACAAAAATACTAATTCAAAGGGATACATGCATCCAGATATTTACAGCAGCATCTACCATAGCCAATTTATGGAAACAGTGCAAACATCCATCAACTCATGGATGGATAAAGATGTGATACACACACACACACACACACACACACGCACACACACACACACACACACACACACTATGGGATATTAGTCAGCTATAAAAAGGAATGAAATCTTGCCATTTACATGGATGGAGCTAGAGAGTATAATGGAGCTAGAGAGTATAATGCTAAGCAAAATAAATTAGTCAGAGAAAGACAATACAATATGATTTCACTCATATGTTGAATTTAAGAAAGAAAACAAATGAACAAAGGCAACAAAAGAGAGACAAATCAAGAAACAGACTCTTAACTATAGAAAACGAAGTGATGGTTACTAGAATGGAGGTGGGTGGGGAGATGAACAAAGTAGACAACGGGGATTAAGGAGTGTACTTTGTGTGATGAGCACTGTGTGTTATATGGAAGTGCTGAATTACTATATTGTACACCTGAAACTAATATTATATTTTATGTTAACTAACTAGAATTTAAATAAAAACTTATGGGACACCTGGGTGGCTCAGTGGGTTGAAGCCTCTGCCTTCGGCTCAGGTCATGATCCCAGGGTCCTGGGATCGAGCCCCGCATCGGGCTCTCTGCTCGGCAGGGAGCCTGCTTCCTCCTCTCTCTCCGCCTGCCTCTCTGCCTTCTTGTGATCTCTGCCTGTCAAATAAAATCTTAAAAGAAAAAATTAAAAAAAAACTTTAAAAACACTCTCTGCCAAGAAAGGTGGGGGAATGACAGAGTAGGAGAGAAAAAGCTTCAGTGAGTTATAAAGGTGCTGAATGGCCACCATGAAAATGGAAAAACATAATGGAGCAAAAAAAAAAAAATCAAAGGCTGGAGATCATAAATTTCTAGTGTTGTCATTCCAAATAAGGCCTAGTATTTTTAATAGGATCATTCAGCAGTTTGGATAGTAAGAAAGAAAATGAATTGTGGACTTGATCTGGGATTTAGGCATTGCTAGTCTGGTACAGCAGAAGAATGATGAACAAGGAAGTTGAGGTTTCATGTGTGAGAGTAGTTGGTTTAACCATTTACTATAGGCTGAGTAAGGGAGGAAGTAGGATAAGGGTGGGTGCTGGGTTGGACCATCAGAATTGGGGGGATTTACATACTCCACGTCTCTGGGAGTGTATGATGCAAGCTACTATGGTGAAACTTAATTATAATGTTAGAGAGTCAAGAATTGATGAAGTTTAGGGAAGCCCTACCTATGACCCTGCAATTGCACTACTGGGTATTTACCCCAAAGATACAGATGTAGTGAAAAGAAGGGCCATCTGTACCCCAATGTTTATAGCAGCAATGGCCACGGTCGCCAAACTGTGGAAAGAACCAAGATGCCTTTCAACAGACAAATGGATAAGGATGATGTGGTCCATATACACTATGGAGTATTATGCCTCCATCAGAAAGGATGAATACCCAACTTTTGTAGCAACATGGGCGGGACTGGAAGAGATTATGCTGAGTGAAATAAGTCAAGCAGAGAGAGTCAATTATCATATGGTTTCACTTATTTGTGGAGCATAACAAATAGCATGGAGGACACGTGGAGATGGAGAGGAGAATGGAGTTGAGGGAAACTGGAAGGGGAGGTGAACAATGAGAGACTATGGACTCTGAAAAACAATCTGAGGGTTTTGAAGGGGTGGAGGGTGGGAGGTTGGGGGAACCAGGTGGTAGGTATTAGAGAGGACACGGATTGCATGGAGCACTGGGTGTGGTGCAAAAACAATGAATACTGTTACACTGAAAAGAAATTAAAAAAAAAGAATTGATGAAGTTTGGCAAAGAGTACAAATTTGAAAAATCCTGTATTAAGGGTAATCTGAACAGGCTTTGAAAAAGTGCAAAACTGTGATATCTTTTTATAAATTTTCACACATTCTATAACTGAATGTATCTTTGACTCCTCAGTCAAATGGTGTTCCAAACTGGCTATTTGCAAACATGATTTTTACTTGAAATTCTATTATTCCTGCCTTGCCAAGTTTGTTGTTGTTTTTGTTGTTACTTCAACTGTTGCACCAGTAGGGTAACCAACTGTGCTATTTCCCTGGATTTTCATAGTTTTAGCACTGAAAATTCTATGTCTCAGGAAACCCCCAGTCTTAGGCAAACAAAACTGTTAGTCACTCTATAAACTCCCAGCTGATATGGACTTCCTGTCTCTTATGTCCCATCTTTCTAATCCATCTTCTACATTTCTGCCAGAGTGATTGTTTTAAAACATCAGCATGGTAATATGACATATCTTCCTGGAATCCTTCAATGATTCCCCCTAAAATCCTCCATGACTGGGCTGCATCTACTTTTTAAATTTCTTTTTCCTTTTGCTACCTTCTCCCATTCTTACTTCTCATTTCATCTTCCCCAGCATCTCACTCTGTTTTCCAGCTATACTAGAACACTTACTATTGCTTTCTATAGATCATTTGTTAACCTCAGGATATTTGAATGCTGTCTATTCATTGCTGTCATTCTTCTACTATTTCTTCTCTTGTATCCTGCCCACCCAAACTGCTTGTTGAAAATGGATTTACCTTTAAGTTGAACTTCCAATCCTCCTCTTTTGTGCAGTATTCATTTCTACTCCCATAGAAACTTCATTATCTCTTTCATAGCAGGTTTTAAAAATCTGTTATGGGTAATTTTTCTTATGTCTATCCCTCTTAAAAATCTATAAACATTTTGAGGACAACAATCATACATTATCCTTCTATGAAATTTCCCACCTCACTCCAACATTCTTAGCAATCAACATGCTAGATACATGTAGCATAATTTTAATTTGCTGTATGAAATCATAATCCACTGAATCCCAGATGAATAGCATTGGTAATACTCAGTGCAGGTTTTCTTGAAAAGATGAAACTTGACCAAAACTTTAAAGGGTTATTAGGATTTAAATTCAATAGTGTATACTTCAGGCAAAGTAAGTTAACTTTATCTTTTCCTCAGACATCATTTCTATTTTTCTTTCCAACCCTGTCCCTACAGGGACCAATAAGAAAATGCAGATGGCTTGGAACAAGTGCCATCTCTTCTGGATTGATGTGCTCTATATTTCAGAATTCAATAGAAGCAGACTGACATTGCAAAAAGAGCATTAAGAGGCCCACAATTCTGACTCCTGGTCTTATTTCAATCATGTTCTTCCTAGGTGACCTTGAACAAGGTATTTAATTGTTCATGAATGCATCTCTTTGTCAGTTAAACACTACAGTGGGGTAGTTACTGGTTATTGTCTCACTTACCTTAGAGGGATGATGCTATGATAATATGAGGATTTCTTAACACTTATGCCATTTACCATGGTTCTTGTCATGCACTGATTATGATGTTGGAGATTTTAAAAATATTTCCCCCACCAGACCGGAAGCTTCTCAGGGACAGAGATTATGGCAGATAGTTCTGTATTTGCTACAGGGCCTAGCACAGAGTTTATAAGATTGCATGTATTAAATATATGTTGATTAAGGCAGCCAGAGTCCTCAAAAAGCCATGGGAAATAAAAACCTATATAGAGTTATCTTTTCCTTTATGCTTACTTTTAATGTGTGGAGAGCTTTGGTGACTAGAGACGGAACATTTTCACTCTCCTTTCAGTTCCTATGCATGGGCAAGTAAGAAGTTATTTGCTGATGAGATGAAGCAGTTTTACCCTCTGCAGAATGGCAGCCAAGAAAAATAAAGGGTTAAGTGCTCTTAGAAGTAGACAACAAGGACTAGCTTCTTCATGAAGTCCAGGTAATAGTCTTAATGATACTCTGAGACTTTGAATGGTGCTGGTTTCTACCCATAGGATATATCTGACGACTTGTTATTTCTAAATTAATTATTTTGCATTTTTCTCAAGCTTCTACAGGTATGAATTTTCTAAGTTGAAAAGGGTAGGTGTAAGGAATACTGATGATAATAACGCAAATAAGGAGACAACATCATAGGGAAATAGAAGGCAGAAGCAATGTATTAGTTAACACATCCAAGTTTGCATTTTTGTTTAATGCTTCCAAACAGGGACTTTAAACTACTGTCTACAGTTCAATCCATCATGCAAATTCTCCATGAGTGCTTCTTAAGTAGCAGGCTGTCCTAGCTATAGAGTGATTAACATATCTTGTTTTGACACTAATGAATCTAATGGCACAATGGGTGAAAAAGCCAACAGACAAGTAAACAAAACATTTCAATTACAAATGTTGATGCTATGAAAGAAGGGACAGAGCATGAGAGTATATAATGATGTGCAGGTTTACCTAGATAGTACTGGTAGTGAAGGTCTTTCTGACCTGCAAACTGAGATTAAAAGGAACCAGACATGTGAAGACCTGGAGGGAGATAACTCCAGACAGAGAAAAAATGTGCAGAGACCTTCGCCAGGAAAAAATAGTAGCTTGGTCTAGAAACTGAAAACATCTCAGTGTAGTTGAAACATAGAGAATGAGGAAGAAAATGGAATGGAATGAAGTGATGTTGAAGGACACAGGAGACATGGTGAAAAGTTTGGCCTTCGTATAATAGAGGGCAAGCAAAGGATTTTAGGGAGGAGAATGACATATTTCAAAGAAAGTTTATCTGGGCTACAGTATAGAAAGTGTTAGAAAGAGTTAATAAGTGCCACAACAAAAGTAAGAAAATATGGAAACAAGCATAGATTCCAATTCTAACATACTACCTCTACACAAAGCAAGTTTTGTGACTTTGCTGCAACTTATTTAATTATTTTTGGTCTCAGTTTCCTCACCAGTGATATGGAGATAATCTTAGCACTGCTATGAGGATTAATGAGATAATACATGAAGCATGCTTAGCCTGTGAATAAATGGTAGCCCTCAATAAATGGTAGTGCAAATTAATGTTAGTGCTAGACACAGTATGGGGAATGGACTGCAGGGGTTATGACTGGAGTGTGGGGAGTATGGTAAATCAATCTGTTTCAGTTGTCAAGAAGAAAGGTGACAGTGGCCTATGTTAGGATGGCAGCAGTAGAAATATATTTGGATTGGAGAGATATTTCAAAGGGAGAACCGCCTGGTTTCTGACTGGATATGGAGGAAATGTAGTGATAGGGGTTAGCTAAATCCCCACTTTTCAGCTTGAGTGTCTGGGAGGAGAGTCATGACACTTACTGAGAAGGGAGATCAGACTCAGGAGTGAGTCACCAAACTTACACATTTTTTGAGACAGGAACCAAAGATATATCTAGGTTGAAGGGGAAAAAAATTGGCAACATAGGTGGCACAAGCCAACTAGAAATAATCAACAACAGAGAGAGAAACAGTGGCAGAAGCAAAGACAGAGAAGGAATGTACTCCGACCTTTGCCCTTCTAATTCAGTATTTTTCTATTAGTGGCTTCTTAGGTTGTTCTCCTTTCTTAAATTTCAGAAATGTCACAGATTTTCCACAGCAAGCTAAATATTTCATGAGAGAGCTTATATTTCCTTTTTTATTATGTTATGTTAATCACCATACAGTACATCATTAGTTTTTGATGTAGTGTCCCATGATTGTTTGTGTATAACACCCAGGGCTCCATAAGAGTTTATATTTCTGCCCAATCCAAACCAAATTCCCTGAGCTTCACCCTACCATGGGAATTTTACATTTAATTGTCACAAAATTTGGCACCAGATTTGGCAAAACCATCCTATCTTCCCTTCAGTCTGGAGAAGAGATTTTGGAAAGTAGACCATGCCAATCTCTAAGCTCACAATAAACTGTGAATTGCAGAGGCATAAACTCCCCACTTCCCCACCCACACAAAAGGTCTGAACTTGATCTCTAGCTTGCTGTTCTGGCTTAATTAGTTTCTGTTATTTAACACATGGGTGTGGATGGAACATCTCTCTTTAGTAAGTGAAACTTTCTACACCACTGAAGCAGGAACAAATACCCATGTCTGTACAGTACAAAAGTGGAAGTGTGATTTGGGTGGGTGTGAGATGTTCTCAGGTCTTGGAATTGTAGTGCACTTGATGAATCTTTCCTTGGTTTCTCACAGTTTTTGCATGGATAATAGATAATAGTAGAAAAATGTCAATAATGAAGTGGGTGTTGAGGAGCGATGGGTGATATTCGTGGGGACAGGTATTTAGTTATATTATAATAACCTAACTAGAGTAATTCTAGTGTTATAAGATTATAAGCTCCTACTATGGGATTAAAAATGTTCTTTTATAATGTGCCCCCAGATGTCATGAGCCTCATTCTATTAAGTAGTCCCCCCTAAGCGGAGAGAAGAAAGTGGTGTAGTGGAAATCTCATAGACTTTGGAGAAAATAAGTGATAATAATATATCTCATTTTTACTATTTTCTAGGTTTGTTACCCCAGAAAATTAACTGCATCTCTCTGAACCTCAGTTACCTCATATGCAATACAAGAGTAATAATAATAGTATCTGCTTCTGATGATGGCTATAAAAATGAAATTAGATAATGCATGTGAAAAATGTCATTGCAGATTCTGGGATACATTGCTGATAGTCACACCGTGATAATTATTTATTCTTTTCACTTGTGAACAACCCTTCACCTTCTATTCAAAGTTATACATACATAAGCAAGATAACTGCATGACTTTTTAGGATGTATCACAAGTCAAGTAGCAAGGATGAAATATTAGGGGAGAGAAAGTGAAAGTACCCTTTAGAATAATGGTAGTTCACAATGTTGACATTTTTATATGTGAACTAATCATTTGGGGTTCTGCTTTTAATCCACATTTCTATTCCCCGGAATAGGACTTAAAACGTGATACAGGAAGTCATTCTGTTACTTATGAGGAGAATCTAAAAGCAAAACATTCCTTTGTTTTGTAAATGTACTTAAAACAAAATAAAACAAAAAAGAAACAATTAAGACAATAAAAATGTTATTTAACCTAAGAAACAACTTCACTACTGTATACCACTTCTATCCCTAAATTCAGTAAACATGCTTGCAATATAAACAGAAGCTATGTTTGTAAAAATTTGTTTTGGGGAGGAAAACAAATGAAGAGAAGGGTGTTTATAAGGATTAGGTATCTTGTACTCCCATTTTAAGTCCCAGATCTTCTGTTTTGTAGCTTTGTGGCCTTAATAAGCCTCCCTTTTGGCCTTACTTCTATGTATTATATGAAGGCTGAATTAAATGATCTTTTAAAGGTTCTTTCCAGTCTAAAATTCTACAAGAGTGTTAAACTAAAATAATAAAGTTGTTGCTCTCTTTTACTTGCAGGCAACCTGCATAAATCTATGACCAGAACTTGAGAAGCCCTAAAGATTACTTTATATTCCCCATGTCCTATATTTATTACATAATAAAAAACACACTAAAGCATAAAATAAGATTAAGGACATTCGCATTTTTTTTCTTCTTATGATGACTATTTTAATGAAAAAAAAAGTATTAAGCTTTAAATTGTTTCCAAAAATGATTTTATGGCCTACTTTACTGTTTCCCTAATCAATGCGTACTGTGTCCATTGGATAATCTACCATGTCCATGATGTCATACCAGTACAGAATTCTTAGCAAGAAAATTAGTCTCTTCCTTTTCAGATCACTAAAGGGAATTCCTAGCTCAGATTCTGAATTTGTGTATTAATGATCCTTTTCATGTAAATTGGTATAAGACCTAAGCCGAGAGAGAATGACAATGTGCATGAGAACCACTTATGCTATTGTGAAAAAATGTTAAGAAGATAGGGTTCCCAAGTCTTGAAACTCAGCTAGCATACTAGCAATGTAGGCTAAAGATGCAGGGCCATTTTTCAAGTGCTGTAGTACCAAGGTAGGAAGTCAGAACCCAAAAGAGAAGAAAGGGGATGTAAAAGGCAAGGTTGGATTTCTATCATTGCAAGTGTTAATGAACAGGCTTTGGGGCAGGAAAAATTTGGGCGCAAAAGGAAAAGACTGAAGTGCCATACCCTTTTTGTTGTGGTAAGAAAAAGAAACTAAGTATTTCAGGACATCCTTGCCTATATGACACAACTTAGACAATTTGGGAGGGCAGTTTGAAGACAGCCCCATGGTTTCCTGATTCATTAGGTGACCTTGGATCAGTAGTAGATATTCTTTAAGCATCTGCCAATTCATCTGAACACAGGTTTTTTCTAAATCTAATAATCTGCCTCTTCAAGTATAAAAAGGAATCTGGATTTGGCTATAGAACTGTTTAGTCATTATACTCTTTTTTTCTTTGATCAAGCAGGAATTATAACTCCACTGCTTACCTTGATGAGTATACTGAGATATTCAAGATGGATAGCAACAGTACCAGCAATGACTGCAGTACTACTAATGTGACATTTCAAAACTCCCTCTATGCAGGCACCTACATCCTCATATTCATCCCTGGTCTTCTGGCCAACAGTGCAGCCTTGTGGGTTCTGTGCCGCTTCATCAGCAAAAAAAATAAAGCCATCATTTTCATGATCAACCTCTCCGTGGCTGATCTTGCTCATGTACTGTCCTTACCCCTCCGGATTTACTATTACATCAGTCACCACTGGCCCTTCCAGAAGGCCCTTTGCCTGCTGTGCTTCTATCTGAAGTATCTCAACATGTATGCAAGCATTTGTTTCCTGACGTGCATCAGCCTTCAGAGATGTTTCTTTCTCCTCAAGCCCTTTAGGGCCAGAAACTGGAAACGTAGGTACGATGTGGGCATCAGTGCTGCCATCTGGATCATCGTGGGAACTGCCTGCTTGCCATTTCCCCTTCTGAGAAGCACCTACTTAGGCAACAAAACTGAGTCCTGTTTTGCTGATCTTGGTTATAAGAAAATGAATGCAGTGGCTTTGGTTGGAATGATTACTGTTGCTGAGCTGGCAGGATTTGTTGTCCCAGTGGTTATCATCGCATGGTGTACTTGGAAAACTATTATATCCCTGAGACAGCCACCAGTGGCTTTCCAAGGAATCAGTGAGCGTCAGAAAGCACTGCGGATGGTTTTTATGTGTGCTGCAGTCTTTTTCATCTGCTTCACTCCTTACCATATTAACTTTATTTTTTACACTATGGTGAAGGAAACCATCATTAGTAGTTGTCCCATTGTCCAAAGCACACTTTATTTCCACCCTTTTTGTCTGTGCCTTGCCAGTCTCTGCTGTCTTTTGGATCCAATTCTCTATTATTTCATGGCCTCAGAGTTCCGTGACCAGCTATCTCGCCATGGAAGCTCTGTGATCCGTTCCCGCCTTATGAGCAGAGAGAGTGGTTCATCAATGGTTAGCTAAACATAAAATAACTCTTCAATTATGAATTTAACTATGTTTCCTAGCTTTTCCCAAAGGCCAGAATGACCAGACAATTTGTTTAACGGAAATTTAGGAACAATGGAAGTCTTGTTGTGTAATAGTTGTGGTCACAGGGATGTAATGGGGATGACAGTGTGTAAGAAATGTGGGAGAGGTAAGGAAGATAGAATTTGCCAGTTTCCTCTTTGAAATTCAAGATACTTTCTTAAGAGACCTAGCTCAAATTTTACAGATGTTTTCAATCAAATGAAAATTAGATATTTTATCTTAAACATTTCTTTAGTAAATATATTGTTAATAAGATGCAATAAATACACGATTCTTTTCCCAAACTGTGAATCTCTTATATGAAGACTTTTAATTGTGAATGAGAATAAAATTCTTCAGTTTTTCTAAGAAATAAATGCACAGGTAAGGGGGAGTGACAATTGAAGTAGTGTATGCATAAATTTCAGGGCCATAAACCTAATACTGAATAAAGGGCATGGAAATTTTTCCATTCACTGAAAATATATTGGATGCCTATTATATTCTGGGTTATCAATTTCTTAGGTACTATCACAATATAGCAAGCATCTCATATGACCATTCTAATAAACTTGTGGAAATTTCCAATACAAATGAGTACGTACAACCTCAGAAAGGGAAGTAACTTGCCTGAGGACGAACAGTGGTGAGGTAAAATTAGTTCTGTATACACTGCATATGCTTAAATTGTTCCCTCTATTTGTGTTGTTACTTTTACTAAGTCAATGTTAAACTTGAGTTAAATGGTGAAGACACAGACCAAAGCTAAGCTGCATCAGATTAGGCCATTTCTACACAATTTGCTGGAGATTATGTGAAAAGTCTGGGTTATGGGAATGGCAGATCAAACTTCTGGTTACAAAGTATCAAATGATAAATAGTTTTTTTGTTTTGTTTTGTTTCGTTTTGTTTTTTTTGTAATACTGTCCCAATCTACAGTTTAATGATTAGGGGTATAGGAGACCCACATTGTTCATGATGTCTTACCAAATATATTTTAGGGCTTAATGTAGGTCATACAGAACCCATAAATAGATGAAAGAAAGAAGGCTATAGAGCTGACAGATGTAGAAGTTCCTTATATATTTTGGATATTAACCCTTTATTGGATATATCATTGCAAATATTTTCTCCCACTCAGTAGGCTGCTTTTTTTTGTTTTATTGTTTGTCTCCTTCACTGTGCAAAATCTTTTATTCTGATGTAGTCCAAAGAGTTTATTTTTGTTGTTGTTGTTGTTGTTGTTTCTCTTGACTTAGTTGACATATCTAATGTTGCTATGGAGAGGGCCGCAAAAAAAATTGGAGAAATGAACATTCTGTGAAATTTAGATTTTTTTGGAGCTTGCCCAAATTCTTTCTTTTTGAACATTGACAAATTTGTGTTTATTAAGAAAGTTCTGTCAATAGAGCTCACAGAATTTCATTAGAAAGAGAAAGCATTATCACATCATAAATGAATGGGAGAAAAACGTGTGTCCTTCTGGCAATCTCTTTATCTTCATTTTTCTAGGGGTTATATCTATTATTTCAGAGCCATTGTAGAGGATTTGAGTATAGGCAATCCTCAGCTTTTCAGTTTGGTATTTATGAAACTCAATACACCACTTTCAACACTTACGCTTGAAATGTAAATAGCGTAGATACTTTGCATGCAGGAAGGAGAAGGGAAGTGGTTTTCTTCAGAATATCCATTTGAACAGTCTGGCTGAGGAGAAGGAAGGAGGGAAAACTAAAACAGAGAAATTAAAAGAAAGAAGAACAAGGCTTCTAGGGAGGAAAAGAATTCTGTAATTATTAATTAATGAAACTGGTTTTCTTGTGCTTTATTAACCTGCATCTGAAAGCACTGCTTAAAGAAGTTTTCCAGATATGTTTGGAGTTAATGGAAGCATTATCAGGATGACTGTCAAGATGCCTCACTCAAAGAATTTAATTTTGAAAGAAAACTATTTAGAATTACACATCCTGCTGTTTGCAGAGAAAGGTATTTCAGTTCTAAATACTCATTCCTACTTTGAAATTGCTGCCTAGAGATAGTGGTTTGAACACAGGATTTGTATATTAGTGGGCCAATTAATATATGTACCTTCCATCTGGCCACGATTAAAGTGGAATCTTTGGGTTTTTTGACATATGAATTCCTATTGTAATGAGAGAGAAAAATATAACATTGAAGCAAGTAATGGTTGGTTCTTGAATTGTATTAAAGACTGGGATGTCTTATACAATGCTGGCAGAAAGATGACAATATTTGATCTTATGAGATAACACCTTTGTAAATTGGTGAGATTGCTTTAAGTTATTACAATGGACAGCAATTTTAACACTTATCTGTATGTTTCCTACAGAGACATGATGCAAGACAAATAAGACAGTAAAATTTATCTCCTTGAATCAGCTTTTCGAAAAGTCACCAAAAATTTTCTTATATATTTACCTCCATATCTTTGCAAGATCCTTGTCAAAATCCACTTAGATACCCTTGATATCATTCAGAATCTTATAATACTGATAAAAGACTCCTTAACCTGATAGCTTTAATAAAAAGAAGGAAGAAGTTTTGAGAGATAAAATAACTTTGTACAACAATCTATATGATCTTAAGTGCAGTTTATGCATGTTTGGTTATACTGTTCACTTTTACAAGGCTTTATATACTAGTGCAGAGTACAGATATAACACTTATCATATTATATGAATTATTCTTATGTAGCATGTGGTCATTTCTATAAAAATGTTAAGCATAATACTCTTTTTTTGGATTTATAGTTTTTATTATTATTTTTTAATCATTTTTTAAAATTTATTTTCAACATAACAGTATTCATTGTTTTTGTACCACACCCAGTGCTCCATGCAGTCCGTGCCCTCTCTAATACCCACCACCTGGTTCCCCCCACCTCCCCCCCCCCCCCCCCTTTAAACCCTTCAGATTGTTTTTCAGAGTCCATAGTCTCTCATTGTTCACCTCCCCTTCCAATTTCCCCCAACTCCCTTCTCCTAACTCCCCATGTCCTCCATGCTATTTGTTATGTTCCACAAATAAGTGAAACCATATGATAATTGACTCTCTCTGCTTGACTTATTTCACTCAGCATAATCTCTTCCAGTCCCATCCATGTTGCTACAAAAGTTGGGTATTCATCCTTTCTGATGGAGGCATAATACTCCCTAGTGTATATGGACCACATCTTCCTTATCCATTCGTCCGTTGAAGGGCATCTTGGTTCTTTCCACAGTTTGGCAACCGTGGCCATATGTTTAAAGCATAATACTCTTATTTGAAAATTTAACTTCCCTACTATAAAATTGCTACTGTAAGTAAATCTGTTTTTCCTTATATTATTTTGCACATTTTACAGGACTATAACCCACCATAAAAGTAAAGCTAGTGCTTATAATACAAAATTAAAACTACATTCTGCTTTTAAGTAGTAAGTACTTATAGTAACTCTTTAGACCAAATACTAAGGCTTTAGTTGCATTACAAATTCAATATGTAATTACAAGTAAAAGTATGCTATTATCCTCTAAGGCTCTGAAAGAGTTAATTGATCTCCCAGGGTTCAAAATTTACCACACATGAATATATAAGATATTTTGAGAATTTTCAATGTATGAAATTGATAAAGTGGAAAGAGAACAACTGGTTCACAGAAACTCAACTTCAAATTGGCTATTATGGGGAAAGGTAATAGCAAAATTCCAGTAGCTATTATTATAGACTAGCAGGTTTCCTGATCAAGGACATATCAAATCTAGAGCTATATATAGAATACTTTTCTATGGGGAAAACAAAGACAAAAATTAAAAACTAAACACTAGCAGAGTGACCCCTTTACATTTGAAAATGAAAGGGAAACCACATGAAAGTGGGTAAGGAAAGCTGAGAGGCAATATCACCATAAACTCTTGCCCTGATTCAGTGATCCACAATTGGTGGGTGGGGGGTGGAGAGAGATTCAAAATCTGGAACTTCAACTTGAGGAGCAAAATGTTTATACCTCATATTGGGCAGCCCAGTTTTTAAGACTGATATGTGAGAGACAAACCTCAAAAACATCTGGCTTTGAAGACCAGCAAGCCTCAACACCATGAAACCCATGGGGCTGTGGCAAACTGAGAAACAGCTCTTAAAGCCTTCCTTTGCAGTCACTCATTTTAGGGCTCAGTCCAAAGCAGCTCCTTGAAAAGTGCCTAGACTTTATGTGAAAGAGATTGCTTTGTAAATTTTAGGACATTGGTGTGAGGGTCAAGTATCTGTTGAAATACTCTTAATACTCTTTAGGGACAGAGGCAAGCAGACAACATCTTCCTGCTCTTCCTCACTGCTAAAGTTAGTAGGCACCATCTTTTTTTTTTTTTTATTCTTACTTTCCTTATTTTCCTTTCCTTTTTATTTTTGTGTTTCCATTTTTCCTTTTTTTCCCCTTTTTACAGAAGTTTCTACCTTTGTATTCCTTTACCTCACTGCAGCCAGTGGAAACAACTTTTTCATTCTCCCTCTGTCACACTCCAGAGCACTAATATCTTCTGGAAGAAAACTTCCACACATATCTTGTGCCCAAGTTTTTACATTTGGTGAGCTGACTTTTGTGGCTGTTGCCTAAGGGATGTCTCTTGATCACCTGACTCTGGAGACCCATGGGGCTTGCAATTTTAAGTCCCATGGGACTGTAACAATTGGAGAGGTAGTTTGTGGTATACTACCACCACCAGGGTACTGTAGAGGTTGTCAGGTTGAAATACACGCTTAGTCTTTCTGAGAAAGAGGACTCTTTGGGTGTGATCATTACACTCCCCTGCCTTGTTCCAGATCATTGGTATCTTACATAAAGGAGTTTATACCTTTTCTGGTGCCATGATTTTTGTGGCTGCTGCCAAGGGACACCTCTACATTACCTGGCTCTAGTAGCTAGCAGGGCTTACACTCTCTAGTCTCACAGAACTGTATCCAATGGAGGAAATGTTCTTTAACAGCTACTACCCTGAGGGTACAGCAAGGACAACAGATCCGAGACCTTACTCTTTCGGTGAAAGAGGTTTAATTAGCTTATTATCATAAGCTAACATCAGGTTTCTAATTAAGCATATATCTAAGGCCTGACTATAAACTTTTCTTGAGACCTTAGAGGGTGGCAACATTTTCATACTCTTCCTTTGTCATACTTCAGAGTGCTAGCATCTTCAAGGTGAGCGTTTATATGTTTCTGGTGCCCCAGGTTTTATGTATGGTGCCCTGGGTTTTGCAGCTGCCACCAGAGAATAACCCTTGAATACTTGGCTCTGGTGGCCAGGGAACCTTATGTTTCTGGGCCCCACAGGTCTATAACAATCAGAATGATAATTCTTGGCAGGCTACAACCTCCAAGACACTGCACAGGCAGGCAGCAGACTGGAATACACACCCAGCTATTCTGTGAAAGAAGCCTACTTTCTTGCCCTGAAACTTCAGTCTTAGGGGCAGGTTTAAGGTTTGGCACACAACTAGGATCTATAAAGTTGCTCTTAGAAAACATAGGCTGGGGAATATTACCATTGTGCTATCCCTCTACCTCGCTACAGCTCATTAGCATCTCCCAGATTAGAACCTATACAATTATGGGGAGGCCCAGTTTTTGTGACTGCTGCTCAGGGAACAACTCCAGCCTGGCTCTGGTGTCCTGTGGGGCTCACACTTGCAATCTTACAGGACTGTATATATTTGCATTCTTTAAAAGCTGTTGCCTGAGGGTCTGGTTTCTAATCAGACTGAAGCTAGATGCTGATTGAGATCCTCCCCTTTGAGACACTGACATCTTGGCACACCTTCAACTACTAGGAGCTATTAAAAATAAAATAGGCTGCCTGGACAATCACAAAGTTTTGAGAGACAACCAAGAGCTAGGGCAGGGTTGAACAATAAGGTTCATTTCATATATGAGGCTAACCCTTCATTGACAGGGAGTGCCAGCTGTTTCATCCAATGCATAAACCAAAATAGAGAGTCAAGGAAAATGAAAAAAAAAAAAAGTGGAGCATATTCCAAATGAAAGAAAAAGATAAAACCTCAGGAAAAAAAAAAAAAACTTAATGCAACAGAGGTAAGTAATTTACTTGATAAAGTGCTCAAAGT